TTATATATTATATATATGCTTTTATTTTTTTTGTGGCTGGCTCAGCCCACCCTAGGGCTGGCGTGGCATGTGGTACAGGGGATCCAACCAAGGTCCCTGGGCTGGCCTAAGCAGACACTTCAGTCCACTGAGTTATCTCACCAGCCCAAAATATAAACTCTTAAGAAAACTAGAAATACAAGGAAACTTCTTTAATGTGATAAAGGGCATCTGTGATCTATCTGCAGCTAACTTTATACTTAATGATGAAGGACTAAATGCTTGCTTTCTAAGATCAGGAATAATGCAAGGATGTTTGTTTTTCTGTTTGACTCATACTAGTGCTTCTAGTCACTGCAATGAGACAAATAAAAGGGCTGGGCATGTTACTACTTGCCTATAGTCCCAACTACTCAGGAATCTAGGAAGGGACTTCCACTTGAGCCTGGGTGTTCAAGTCCACCTAGACAACATAGAGACCCCTATCTCAACAACAAGAAAATGTGTATCTACAGAGAACAAAAAGCACAGCAAAAGCAAAAATGGACAAGTGCAAGTACAATTGGAACTGCACCAAAGTAAAAGCCTCCTGCATAGCAAACACTCAACAGAGTAAACAGACAATCTACACAATGAAAGGAAATACTTATAAACTCTATGTCTGACAAGGGTTTGATTTATAAAATACATAGGGAATTCTTAAAAGAGAAAATAGAGAATCCTCATACTTGACCATGCTATCCAGGCACCTACAGAGCTGAGCTGGAGGTGGGCAAATGCCACCCCCAGTAGAGCAGGGGGCTAGGGCAGTGGCTGTGGTTGCTGGCCCAGCTGGAGAAATGGAATATGAAAATGGACAATGGCCAGTAAAGTAAAAGTAGAACTCTTACCCATGACCTGTAGCAATCTCTCCAAGAAGCTAATTTGGTCTAGAAAGGGGAGCCAGCCTGAAACTTTTTGTTCGTCTTACGATCCTATAGCCAGATACCAACTCAAGAGCCTGCTGTTTACCCTGAGTGAAGCAGAATGACATCTCCAGCAGGTGCACCCTGCCACTGTTGCTGCTGCTGACCAGTGAGATGGCATAGTTCAGCCCTGCAGCTGGGGGAGGACCCGTAGTTGCACTTGATTTATAAAATACATATGGCCCTCCAGGCCCTCATCCCATGGACCTGGAGACCATCAGGATCATGCCTGTGCTTCAGATGTGGGTGGGGGCACTGTACAGCCACTGGCTTTGAACAGCTCAGCCCTTGGTAGGGGCCACTGCCAACTAATGAACTATGCACTGACAGAGCTGTGTGCCCAAGAACACTGCCCATCTGCTCCTACCTCACCTCTGTAGTCTGTAGACCCAGAGGACCATGAGCTGATATACTATGGGGAGATGATGCTGAGCAAGGGCATTCCTTCTGAGGGCTGG